TCTATTCCTTTTTCTTTTTTTTTTTTAAATAAAATTTTTTTTTTTATGTGCGCGAACTTTTATGAAAATCCTTTTCCCGGAAAAGGTTTGTTTGATTTTAAGAGGGGAAAGTGGTGGTGGTGGGGGGAACATTAAAAGATTTTTATTATTTTTTAATTATTTTTATTATTTACAATGAGAATTTTATATTTTTAGTTACCGACATAAAAAATAAAAAAATTTTCATTTTCTTTTTCTCTCGCTCTCTCTTTCTCTCTCTTTCTCATTTTTTCGCTTAACCTTTTTTATAACTTGATTAAAATCATTTTTTTTTTTTTCGAAAAGAAAAAGTGGGGTGAAATTTTTTTAAAAAAAAAAGAGGCATTCATTTTTCATTAAAAAAAAAAAAAAACACAAAGTTTTTAAATTATGCCGTAACATGCCACGGTAATAAAACCTAGACGACTTCCTTTTTCCCTCTCTCTCTTTCCTCCCCCCCTCTCTCTCTCTCTCACTCTTATAATAAAAATACATCATTTCGTAAAGGTCGAATTGTTAATTTAACTTATTAGGATTTAATAATCGAGTAAAATACATATTTAAACCGACGTGAATTTTTTTGATTACTGATAAATCACATTTATATGTTTTTACCGAGTAAAAAAAAAAAAAAAAAACAGCCCTTCAACCTTTTTTTTCCTCATCCCCCATTTCTACAAGTTAACCTTTTAATAATGAGTCCACCCCCTCCCCATTCTATATTTTACCCTTAAAAATTACGCCCTTAACAAAAAATATAGAGAAAGAAAGGAAAAAACATGAAAGCTCGAAAAGAAAATTATTAACCACCGTCGTACTGCCCTTTCCCCCTTCCTCTCTCTCTCTTTCTCCCTCCCCATCCGCCATATTTTATTTATTTATATTTTTTTTTTAAAGTTTACTTTTGTTTAATAATAAATAAATAAATTTATTATTATTATTATTTAATAAAACATGATCGAATTACGAAGAGGGAGTCGATCTATACACACACACACACACACACCCAATTGAATTTTTCAAATAAGGTACGTAAAGTTTTTTTTTTTTTTAGGTGTGTTTTTATTTTTTTTTTGTTTTGGCGTAACCGTTATCCAACCCAAAATTTGAATTATTTTTTTTAAATATATTTATTATTAATAATAATAATAACAATGATAATGATAATGATGAGCATCATTTTTTTTCAATAACTAGAAGATTTTATAAGTATTATGAAAGAATTATCGTAGATTTAAAAAAAAAATTAAATTTAAAAAACTTTGATTCACAAAAAACTTTTTTTATTTTTTTGTTACACTTCCGGTAATAATAACCGTTAAAAAAATTCTAATTCCACGTTTTTTATTTAAAAAACAAAAAAATTCAAACGAAGAAAACAATAAAGAGAAAGAGAGAAAAAGTAAAAAAAAAAACTCTTAAATTATACTTTAATTAAATATTAAAATTTATTTTTACGAAATTATTATCATTATTATCGTCATCATCATCATCATCATGTGTGTGTGTTTTTTTTTCAGGTACGTATTTTAAATGATAATAATAATAACAACAAAAAGCTTCTGTAGGTTTTTGTAAAAAAAAAAATAAAAATAACAAGAACAAAACAAAACAAAACAAAAAAGAAAAACAATGGCGGTTGTTTCTCATATGGTAACGATAATAAGTAATAAATAATAATAATAATAATAAATTAATAAAAGGTTGTAATTAAAATTTAATTTATAATTATTTTAAACAAAAAAAAAAAAAAAAAACGCGAGTTTTCATGTCGTTTCCCCCCAAAAAAAAAAAAAAAAAAAAAAAATGAAAAAACTGATTTTGTGATCCCATTTAAATTCTTTTACGGCATAATACAAAAAAAAAAAAAAAAAAAAAATAAGCGAACCGTCACATGATACCGTCTTATATTATTATTATTATTATTATTATTATTATTATTATTATTATTTGCCTTTTTTTTTTCATCGGAGAAACGATATCGATCGATAATTTTTCAATAAATCGATATATACACATATAAACGTCGAAATCGATATGAAAATTTGATAAAAACAAACGAGAATGATTGCGTTTATTATAAATACGATCGATAACAAAAAAAAAAATAGAGTGACGTCATAAAAATCAAAAAGAATACCTTTAAAAAAAAAATTTATTTATTTTTCTATTTCCACGTCGTCGTGTGAATTTTCCTCACCATCGAGTTCATTTATATACATAATTTTTTTTTCTCTTTTTTCTCTGTAAAGATCAAATGATTTCGACAAGAGGCGGCAATTTCATTCACAGCAAAAAAACTAAACAACAGCAAAAAATTAAACAACAAACAACAGCCGAAAAAATAATAATCAATCAATCAATCAATCAATTTTGTTTCGAATCGCTTTAAAATTATCAAAAGGGGAAAAGAAGAAGAAGAAAAAAAAAAACATTTTTAAACTTTATATCAAACGATCGAAACTTAATAATAATAATAATAATAATAATAATAATAATAATAATAATAATGATAATGATAACAAACATTCAACTAGAAAAAAAAACAAAAACGGATTTCATTCATTCATTCATTCATTCATTCCTGAGTTCGTTCACGTTCGTTTAACTAATAAATCGATCAAATTAATCCATTTATTAATTAATACGGCATGCCAGGTGAATATCGATCGATAATTAATTAATTATTACGAGACATTTTGCGTCTTCTGCTTTTTATTTTTTTTTTTTAATAAGTCAATAAATATTATTATTTTTTGGCAAAATAAAATTATTATTATTATTATCATTATTATTAAATTAAACGAAGAACTTGGAATCGTTTCCCCCCTAATAAATTTTAATTTTTTTTTTTTTTCAGCCAAACTAATAATAATAATAATATATAAATGATATTTATAAACAAACAAACAGACAGACAAAAACAAAAAAAACAAACGAATAAATCTTATTAATAATTAAATCCGAAATATATACGAAAGAATTAATAATAGACGATTCCATCGATTAAAAAAAAATAAAACAAATTTAATCCGCCATTTTGTTTTTTAAACGTCCGCGCACGCGTGAATCCATCATCATTATCATTATTATTATAATCCATGGAGAAATGGGAAAGGGGAGAAGAGGGTAGGGGAGGGAATGAGAGGATGAGGAAAGGATGAGGGGATTTAAAAAAAAAAAAATTTATTTTTCTCTCCGGTTCGCGGAGTGACATCGATAAATTAATTAATTAATTAATTTCTATTTATTTATTTAAATCGGTTGTATGTCGTTTTAATTGATTTTCGTTTATTAATGATTATTAATAATAATAATAATAATAATAATAATATTGATCGATACGTTTCGGTATAATTAATTAAAAACGTTATCGATTAACATCGAATTCATTCTTCTCGTTCGCGGACGAAAAATCGATCGATAATTAATTATTTTTATTATTATTATCATCATCATCATTAATATTAATATTGTTATTATTAATAATAATAATAATAATAATTTTGTCGGTTTTTATTATTATTATTATTATTATTATTATTATTATTATTATTATTATTCTATTTTATTTTTTCAAATTTAACTTTTTGTGGTTGTTTTACAAATCATTATTTTTCCCGTATTGCACGTTTGAGGTCTTAACATCACGGGTTCCGCGATAATAATAATAATAATAACAATAATAATGATATTAATAATGATGGTAATAATAATAATAATAATAATGATAATAATACATAAATAAAATGATTTAATAAAAATCCCGCGAATCTGTTTTCGTCTCAAACCGCAGAATCAACTTTTGCTCTAATTAAAATAAAATCATTCGTTCTCCCCGCATTATTGGCATTCGACACGTACACACGCACGCACGCACGCACGTACGAACGCACGCACGCAAAAACCATATGTTATTACCACTATTATTATTATTATTATTACTTTTTGTTTTTTTTTCCTTTCCAACGTCAAGCAAAATAAAAAAAATAAAATTGCCGTGTTTAACGTTTATTGCAAAAGCTTAAATATACCCCCCTTAAAGCCCCGTTTCGAAATAATGATGATGATGATGATAATAATAATGAAATTTGTACAGTTGCTGTCGGGTGTTATCAAGCGATTAAAAACCTGTCGTGTATTTTTCGAAAACAGGTACGAGCCTTACGCATTTCAACGCACAAAAACAAATTTAATTTTTCTTTTTTTTTTTTATTTAAAAATTAAAACGTGGAGGATTATTATTATTATTATCATCGCTTAAACGAGATTTTTAAGGGGATCCACATACTCCATGAAATAGAATTTTAATAATATTTATTGAAATTTTACTGCTTTGTACATAATTTTTGTGCCTGTACGAACGTTTAGCAAATTCTATAAAATTTTTTTTCCAGAATTTTTCCAGTCGCAAATCGTCAAACGTCGTCGTCGTCGTCGTCGTCATCGTTACATAAAAAAAAGGAAAGAAAAATGGCGCTCTGACACATAAAATAAATATAAATTGAAAAAAAAAAAAAAAAAACTTTCCGATTAATTTCCAGAATCGAATGGAAAGAAAATGAAAAAAAAAAATTGCTGGAGAATAAATATAAATGGGAAAAACGTTTCTTTATCCATTTACCCGTCGCTAAATTTAAAAAACAACGAAAATAAAAGGGGAAAAAAGAAAATTTTTTTCGGGAAAATATTACATAGTTTTCTGGAAAATTTTTATTCCAGCGCAAAAAAAATAGTAGAAAACATACGAATGAAACGACAAAATATTTAACGTTTGTTTGTTTGTTTGTTATATTCCGTCGCAAATTATTCATTTTTATTTATTTTATCCGTGACCGTTTTTTCATTAAATTTTTTGGAAATTCCAGCGTGAAAAAAAAAAAAAATTATCACGGATAAATAATAATAATTTTCCATTGATAAAACAAATACGAAAATTTTTTTAATAATGATGATGATGATGATGATGGGGGGAGAAGAATTTATGTTTTTCTTACGGCTACCTGAAAATTATTATATTTGTTGTGGTGGAATGCTGGAGAAAAAAATAAACAATTGGGTAAATCACGTAGACATTGAAATTTAATATTAACATTTCTACCTTCCTTTTTTTCTTCCAGTCTTTCTCCAAAATGAAAAAAAAAAAAAATACCGAAGGGAGCCACCGCATTTAATTCTAACCATTCGGATGGACTCCAGTGGTTTTATATAATTTTCTCCGAAATATTACATTAACTCTTTTGTTTTTTTACGTGCGAACGTGTGAGAGTAAATAATTTCTTTATTTTATTTTCGGAGAGAAAAAAATAATAATAATAATGATAACTTACCACCGGAAGTTTCGCCGTTCATTCCGTCAAACGTTTTATTTGTCATTTGAAAAAGAGCATCCAACGGAGATGTGTTTTTCCCCTGAACGGTTTTCCCACCGACTCTTTGCTGTTGCTGCCTGGATGACGTTCCTCCCGACGTTCCTCCCGATACCGAACAATTTATTATGTCCGGCGACGTGCAACAATCGCTTCCGCTTCCACCTAAACTTCCGGCCGTGCTAGACCGATCGGAAGAACACGTCGATAATGTTTCACTGTAGCAGAAATCAGCACTTTTGGGCCGAGTTCGTTTTCCACCGCTTTCGGAACCTTTCGAATCCCAGGGTCTAACAATTTTACTACCCGACTCCGTTTTCGTTTCCTCCTTACCTTTGGGTCTGTGATTTAATATGTCTAATATGGAAAATGATTTGACACCGTTTTGTCCCGCGGGATTCGTCAAATCCTCTAATTTTTCACCGTCTCTATCCCGGTTTTCCAACATGCTTATCCTACCTTCGGCTAATCGCGTTTCTAACATTCTCGCTTCCAACAATTGCCTGTGATCGAGCAAACTTTTTTCGAACAAACGATTTTCTATACCTAAAAGGTTTCTCTGTTCCGGCGTTAACAAATGCCGCGTGTCCGCGGCCGTCAACAAATGTCTCGGATCCGCGTTTAGTAAAAATCTTTGATGATCCGCCAAACGATTTTCTACTAAATTCCTTTCGAACAAGTGACGATTTTCCAACAGCAAATTCCTCTCGAGCAACTGACGTTGTTCAACGAGATTCCGATTATCCATGAACATGTTTCTGCCGTCGATGAGAACGCCCGGAGATGGGAAATGTCTTAAAGCGATCGGTATCGAAATGGGTATGCCCAAATGCGCGGGAGGTACCAAATTAAGATTTGGAAAATGATTCGCCGACATGACGGATGCCATTTCTTCGTCCGCGTCTAGCCTCGAAGTCGTCGGAAGGTGTCCCTTGTGTATAGGGTATTGTTTTGCTAAAGGTATGGAATTCGGAGAACAACTCCTTTCCTTTCCTTCCTCTTTTCTCTTCTTACTCAAATTCATCATTTTGAGTTTTTTCAACGGTTTGAAATATTCGTCGCATCCTTCTTTCGATGCTCCGTCGTCGCTGCAACTCCTTTTCCTCGGTTTAACCGTTTCCGATTCATCCTCTTCCTCTTTACTTTCTTCGAATTTATCATCGTCTTCGGGAATGGAATTAACCACGTTCAACGGAGACGGACATCCGACCGATATTTCACCGTCTTCTGAATCCGAATCGTTCATTGTTGTGACGTTATGTTGAGTCATATTCACTTTGTCATCACGATTAACACAACAACAAACAACCACAACAACAACAACAAACAAAAAACAAAAACAACAACAACAGAAAAAAAAACAATCGAAAATTTATTATATTTTTTCACTCGTAAAACCGTATTAAATTTTTTTTGTTTAATAAAATAAAAAAATTTACATGTTTTATAAACGACGAGATCTCGATACGAAAATCCATATAACGATATCGTGGACCATTATTCACTGAGTCCTTCGCGTGCGAAAGAATCATCGTAGGTAAAGCGAGAGAGAGAGAAAGAAAGAAAGAAGGAAAAAAAAACGAAATTAGAGGGGGAGAACGCGAAATAAAATTTGAGGCGGAGTTTAAATCCCACTCAATACGCTCTCGACCAATCAAATCAAATCTCATTATCCAATAAACGTCGAGAATCTTAATTGCTTTCGACTCCATAATGATAAAAGGGACCAATTGAACTCTGTCGGGGATTTCCCTTTGAGCCCTATTAGCACTCACGTGTCTATTTGTCAAATTAAGATTAAGCCTTCTCTGAATAAGCTATTAAGAATGAAGCCGACATCCTTTGTGAAATGCCGACTCTTTTTTTTTTTTTACAACTATAGATTGTTTAAAAAAGTTTTATACCTAAAGATTTTTAATTACAATTACCATTCGGATTGTTTACCGTTTCTTTTTATTCTTTTTTTTTTTTTTTTGTTCTCATGAACGTTCCTTTGAAAGCTTCTTCTTCGTATTTACACAGAAAAAAAAAAAAACCAACGACTTCTTGGCTTTTATTTTTTTTATTATTATTGATTTAAAAGTTTTCGAGTAAATACTAAAATAATTCTTACGTCAAATAAACAAAGAAAAAAAAAAGAAAAAAAGATTCTTTTTTTTTTCTCTTTTTTTTTTTTTCTTTGTTACGACAAAACTAAAAAAATACTTTTTCAATTCCCAAGTTAAAAAATTTATTTTATCATCATCATCATCACCATTATTTATCAATAATAATAATAATAAATTCAGTAAAAAAAAACCCAACGATTTGAAATGCTAAAAAAAAAAAAATGATGGGGAAAAAGTACGAAAAACAAATTTTTTTTTTCCTTTTACGTCATCAAAATAAAAAAAATGACGTCAAAAATCGATATCGTTTTCTCTTCGATAAATATCGAATTATTATTCGATTTTTATAATCGAACGAAAACTTTCCTTTCCAATTTATTTTAAAATTTATCGAGTAAAAAAAAAAAAAAAAAAAATTATTTTTATTTCTTTTTCCCACTTCAACCTTTGACCTTTTCATTTTCGTATAAGAAATGAGGCGGGGAAGGAGAGGGAGAGATGAGGGAAGGGGGAAAAGGAAAAACCCCAAAAACCGCAAATTTTCCATTAAAAAAAAAAAATCAACGCCACGTGTTATTTAAAAATAAAAACGTTTGAAATATTTTTTTTTTTTTGGAACATTTTTTTTTTTTTTTTGTTTTGGGTGGAGCGTATTAAAAATACGACAACCAATAAAAAAAATTCAGGTTCGAACAGGTTGTACCTGTACTTTAAATAATAATTATTTATAATGTAAAAGAAGTTATTTTATTATTATTATTAATTTTTACGTTAATCTAAAAAAATTTCAAGTTCCAAAAACAATAAAAAATCAAATAAAAATTTTTTTTGAAAATTTTAAAAAAATTTTAAAAAGATTTTAAAACCGAGGCCCCCCATTTTCGCCTCCTCCCTCCCCCCAAAAAAAAACTGTTTTTTTTTCTTTGTGTATAAATCGGTCGAACGTGATTAATTGAATAAGTTTAATGATTCTTCGCCTGTGGCATGGCATGGACACCAACCACTCAAACCACACGAATTAAAAAATGCCATGTGCGTGTGTGTGTGCGTGCGTGTGCGTGTGCGTGTGCGTGTGCGTGTTCAAATTAAACATAAACACACGAAAAAAAAAAACAAAAAAACGCCACCCACGTGACAAAAATGCGAAATAAAAAAAAAAAAAAAATTTAAATCAAATCATAACCGCAACGGGTTGAACGGTTCCCTAATCATCCGGCATGATTAAGGAACCATCACTTCCCCTCCCCTCTCCCCAATCCTCCGAATTGCAATATCTGGAACGTTCCAGAACATATACATATATTTTTTTTTTGGGAAAAAATAAATATCGATTTTTAAAAAAAAATCCATACGTAGCGAGAGAAAGAAAAAAATTTAAAAAAAAAAAATTGCCAACTCATCGTAAAAATAATAACCCGAAATTGAAATAATAATAATAATTATTATCATTATCATTACGATCGCAACCCTTTCTTCCTCCTTTTTTTTCCTTTTTTCTCCTTTTTTTCCACGGTTTTTAAAAAGTCACGGATGGTTATTAAAATGGAAAACAACAAAAGAATTCTCATGGACGTTTTTCATCAATCGTAAACCATACACAGACGACGTAACAATCGAATATTTTAAAAATTCTAATGGACGTACAAAAAAAAAACCAGTGGTTAAATAATAATAATAATAATAATGATAATAATATCGATTCGATACCGCGTTTTTTTTTTTTTTAATGTATTCTCCTTTTTCTTGAAAAATCATTCTCTCTCTCTCCAACTAATATAAATACATATATATATATATATATATATATATATATATATAAACAAAACACGTAAAAAAAATTTTTTTTCATAATAACTTTGATGTTAAAAAAAAAAAAAATTAATTACATTTTTGATTACTCTATCGTTAAAATTTTCCCCTCTCCTTCCCCCCCTCTCTCTAGCTCTTTTCCTAGCCCCCCCCCTCCTCTCTCGATTTACATGCCATTTTGTTTTTTAAATAATGATCGTACGTTGGTCCCGAAACTATTTATTTCGTATGCGTACGTATTATAGTACATAATGATCCATTTGCATAATTAAGTTGTTAAAGAAAAAAAAAATAAAATATATGCATACATACATACATGAATAAGAAATAATAACTTAATGAGGAGAGAGAGAGAGAGAAATAAATTCGAAGGAAATATCGAGTAGGATAGAGAGAGAGGTAAATAAAATGATTTTATATCCAAGTTAAATTTTCCACAAACGATTTTCTTTCTTTCTTTTTTTTTTATATATACGAGAATGTAAATATTAATAATAATAATCATAATAATGATAATAATAGTAGTTAATAATAATAATAATTTAATAACGTCAAAAGCAGTCGCGCATTAATAAAAAAAAAAAAAAAAATTTCGGGGCTTTTTTTTTTTTTCGTATTTCGATTTTTTCACCCTTCGCTAATTATGACGTATTAGTATAAAAAATCACGTGATTAAAATTATTTAAAAAAAAAAAAAAAAAAAAAAAACGTTTTTAGGAAAAAAGGTTACGAACTTGAACGAAATTTTTTTACTTTCTCCCCCCCTCCTTCCATCGCCCCCCTCACAATTTTTTTACTTTTTTCCCCTCCTTTGCGGTTGTTGTTGTGATTTCATGAAGGAAAAAAAAATTTAAAAGAGAGGAATAACGCCGCGTAAAAATTTTAAATTTACTCGATAATAATATTAATAATAATAATAAGAAAATCGATATTATTATTATCATCATCGCCGCCATTAATTTATTTAAAACTACAGCCACCGACAGGTTACAAAAAGTAAACCGACAACAATTTTTATAAATAAATAATAATAATAATAATAAAAATAGAATCGTTCGTGACGATCATTCGTCGTCACTTCAACGTCGTCTGCTGTAGGTACGACTCAGTTCCGTTCCGTTCAGTTTTTTTTTTTTTTTTCTACTTTCACGGTAATAATAATAATTACTTTAATCTTCTCTCTCTCTCTTTTTTTTAATTGCTTTCGAGACAAAATAACTAATTCCGTAAAAAATTTTACACCTTTGAAAATAAAAAAAAAAAAACTTGATTACGTTCGTACAAAAAAAAAAAAATAATAATTAACCGCTGCTGCTGTTGCTGCTGCTGCCACGACACTATCATCATCATCATCATCATCAACGTACGATATTTTAAATCTAATCACAAATATATAATTAAAATTTATTTTTCGAGCCGAATTAATTTTTCCTTTTTTTTGTTTTTCGCTACCAAAAAGGGAAGAAAGCCAGGGTGGTGGGGAGCGGGGGGAGTAGGGGGCGGGGGAAAGAACAAACAAAAAAATTAATTTATTTATTTAAAACAAAAAAAAAAATTGGCAAAAATAAAAAATAATGGCGGCGGCGGCATCGGCCATCGTGCCACCTCTTCGTCGTCTTCATCCGCCATCTTTTTTTTTTTTTTTTATTGTTATTTTAAAAGTTTTCTGACCTGTTTCTCGTCGGAATTTATAGTATTTAATTATTTTCGAGAAAAAAACCTACCTTCCCTCAACCCTCCACCCCCCCCCCAGTTCGAAACAATACAATTCTAATTGTAATAAAATTACGAAATGAACGGGGAGAAAGAGAGAGAGAGAGAGAGAGAGTCTAATGACTTAAATTATACACATCTGCTCATTTTTTTTCGGAAAGTCACGTTTGATTTTTTTTTTTTTTTTATTTTATTTTAACATTCATTTAAAAAAAAAAAAATAAAACAAAAAAAAAAAAAACATTAAGAATACGAGAAACGACAAAGAGAAAGAAGAAAGGGAGAGAGAGAAAGAAAGAGAGAGACAGAGAAAAAGAAAAGAAATTTGCAAAATGATTAAACACATCACTCTCTCACTCACTCACTCACTCACTCCCTCCGACGCAACGCCACCGCAAAGAAGAAAACAAATCCAAGGGTTTCCTCCCTTCCCTCCCCTCCCCATTTAAATAACTAAGAAAAAAAAAGGTCAACAATGAGAATAGATATATTTACTCATCGAGGGTACCCACATTGTTACCAACATACCTACCGCAGGTAAGTAGTATGTATGTATATCCATCAGCACGTGTCTTTTTTGTCATAAATTTTATTTTATTTCTCCTTCAACCATCCATCCTTCTTCTCGAAGGCTTTTCTA